TATAAATATAATATATATATATATATATATATATATATATATATATATATATTCTCTTTTTTTTTTCATATAATTTACAAATAATTTTAACATTAATTTTAAATAAAACTTAATAACATACTTTGTGTTACTGTAACATATACACTATTTTTTAATAATATAAGAGTAACAAAATTACTTTAAAAAAAAACACTCAAAATGGATAGAGCCTAATTTAAATTCCATACTCAATAACATAAAGTTCGACTTTGACTTTGACTTTGACTTGAACAATAATATTCAACTTTGACCGGAATAATAATGTAATAAAAACATGTTTGAAATATATAAAGATTAAAAAAACTATAAAAAAAATAATAATATATAAACTTAATACAAAGAAAATCAGTTGTCAAATATAACTGACCCTCATTGCCTGGGTTGAACTTGAACATGAGTTTGCATTAAACTTAGCATTAAGTTATCTTGGAGTCTCACTTTGTAAAATTTAATGAGAAAAATAACTCATTAATTGTGACAAACTATCGATGTCGTAGTTGATACTTGATAACCGCTTGGAAATTTTTAACATAGGACAAGGAGTAGACGAGTAAAAATTGGAAATCTTACACATATTTCAGCTTCGAATTAATGGCATCCTAATCATAATAATGACAAAATCAGTTGTTTTTTTTAATCATATTATTAGGACAAAATATTTATTAATAGGATAAAGTATTTTATTAATCTTGTTAATGACTAATATTTACTAAAAAATTTAGTAAATCTCTTTAAAAAAATGTTCCTTCCAAATCACATTTTTTCCATTAAAAAAAATCATTAAGTTAAAGTTGAAAATATATTCATAATACATATAGTCTAACTTTAAATATTATACTTGACATTAATTTGAGTTAGCGTGAGTGGTAGGAGATATATTTCGTTTAATTACGTAACTAGAGATTGAATCATAATTTTTGTGAATATAAAAATTTATTAAATTTATAAAAAAAAATAAAATAAAAATTATATAATATTTTATTATACAAATTCAAATTAATAATGTATAATACTTTTATAAGCATTCATCAATTTAAATTAATAGAATGAAATATTAAATAATTTTTATTTTTTTAAAAATTTACAAATATAATCTGTATTAAAAACTCATTAAATTTATAAAAATTTAGAAATCCGTTATATAAATTTAAATCACTAATACATAATATTTTTATAAGCATTCATCAATTTAAATTAATAAAATAAAGTATCAAATAATTTATAATTTTTTTAAAAAATTTACAAACATAATATATGTATTAAAAAATATAATTTAATAATTAATTCGTTAAAATTTAATGTTGAACATGAGTGATTAAATAGAATAATTTTATAAAAATTTACTGTTAAAGTAATTAGATCCTTATGTATATATATATATATATATACTTTTTACAAATTTTACTAGAATATTATTATATAAAACATGTTTGAAATACGTAAAAGCATAAAAAAGTGTTGAAATATAATGTAATATAAAGAATGTAAGAAATGATAAATAATCTAAAACTAATATTAGTTGGTATAGAAAAGTAAAATTTTATGGAAATGTAATCCTTGTTGTGAAAACTTGAGTATATTATAAAAAGTAGAAAATGTGTGTAGACTAGAGTAATTATTTGGATCCTGACGATGATAGTGTTTGAACATGTATTATGGTAGATAAATTCTCCGTGAGCTTGACCCAAAATAGAGAAAAGTTAGAGGGTATAAAGATGCAAAGTCTGGTCGGTGGTCAGAACTGATAAATCAGAAGGTCGTGACTTGTGAGATTATCGGTCAGTATGGCCTATGGGAGCATTAAAAAACAACAAGGCCACCAAATTTGGTACCAAGTAAGCAGGGTTTATTTTTATTATAAAAATTAACTATTTTTAATAATATAAAAATGCTTATAATCTCCACATATTTTAAAATAAATGAACCAAATGGGATGGGTCACACGTGTCATGCATTCCAAGCTAGTAAGGCTACTTCGCAGTTTCGTCAGACTGAGAAACTGGAATAATATACCATTATTACGTACCTCCTCACTCCTCACTCCTCACACATTCTCACCTCTCTTTTTACTCTCGCCCTCCCATTCTTCATCTGCTGCCACGTGTTTTTTACCAGCTGGCCTATAATTTAAGTAATTCAAATTATTTCTACTTTTTTTTTTTCTACCATTAAGCAATTCTGAGTTTAAATGTCTGTTTCCGTCGAGGGTTTTGTCAGAAAAAGGTGTACAATTTTTCCCTCTTTTTTAAACATGTACAGAATATTTGTTTTTTCTTTTGTTACATTTATCATTTTTAAATTTTATAGTAATAATAATATAATTTCGCTTTTCCGCTTTCTATTTATTAATTGAGTTCTGGAAAATATTAAAGTGCTTTTTTATTTTATTTTGTTTGCTGTTTTTCTTCACGGATTTCCTGTTTTTGTTTATTTCGAGATGCCACGAACCTTCCTTCTTCGGGTCCTTTGCTGTCGTCACCATCACCCATACCAGTACACTCTTCTTTTATTTCATACCAATGCAATAGTAAAATAAAACAAGGAGATTTGTGTTCTTAAAGTGAGAAAAACACAGAAGTAAATAGGTGAGACATTTTAATTATTAATCTGAATTCATGAAAAGATGCGAAAATTTTAAGAAAGAAAAGTTTCACCCGCCTTGTCTCCTTTCAAGGGACCGAAACGTTGCAATTGCAACCCCTCTATCTCTGCGTTCCCCTCTCAGAAATCAACAACGCAACCACAAATTACTTACACAACACAAAAACATTTAAGATTACCTAACAAGAGCTTGGTTAAACTAATTTTGTGAACTCATAAACTATAATTTGCCTGTCACCTACATACACATAATAATTCAAACACAATCAATTAATCAAATATTTTTCCTCATTATATAACAATGATGGAGAAATATCTCTAATGCCGTAATGCATGTATGCTCAAGTACTAAGCCCCATATATATATATATATATATTTTCACACTTCAAATAAACGAAACATTTTTTTTCTAAAGTTAAATTTTGCAAATATTTACTTTTTTTTCATCTATTTTATTATATATATTGTTGCTTTTTACAGAACCCCTTGCATTAAACAAAGGTAAAGCCATTAAACCAAAAAGAGTAAAAATTAGAAAGAAAAAAGTCCTGCTCTTATCCAAATATTTTGGTTATATTTTTAATTATGGATTTTTTTTATAAAAAAAAAAAAAGGGAAAAAAGAGCAAAATTATTTTTTTATGGCTTGTCCTTGAGAAGAGAGGCTAATCCGGTGACCACCTTGGCTCCTCGCTCAACACTCTTCAGTTTCACGGCCGGTGGCTGCCACAACGGCGGGGC